GCCTTATCTATTCATAGATCAATCTATCTACCCATATATCAGTCTATCTGTCCATCTCTTTCTCTCGTTTGAAAGCATTGGATTGGTAGAGAGCTATAATGTCAAATGCTCTGAGAACTGTGACAAGGATGACTGAGCTTGCATCATCCAAAGGCTTAGCATGCAAATTAGCTAAGTATGGGAAAGAGAAGCTGCCTCCCACCCCTAGAGTAACCACTTGGCAGGCAGTACAGGATCCTGTATGTTGTGTGCGTGTGAGAGAAGGATGTTTGGGTCAGCAAACATCTGGTAAGAAATAGGATTTGAACTCCTAAAATGTTGCATTCCTGCAGGGAGGGAGCTGCAGCTTGTGAATGGTAGCCCAAGAATCGGGTAAGTCTGCCCTTCCCTCCTTCAGTCTTTTTTTCCCCCAAGGGGTTGCCTTTGAAGGGGCTGCAGTGCAGGAAGGTAGATTCAAAGGAGTCACAGGAGACACTGGTGTTCAAAGCAGGAAGTTTGGTAAGATCATTGGGTGTCCTCACAGAAGAAGGTAGTATCCAAAGACGCTACATTTGAGTTGGTACCAGACAATCTTGAGTTGGGAGTCTGAAGACCTTTGGGGCAGAAAAGGACAAAAGACTTAGAAATGGACCTTCTGTATGAGGGCTTTGGGCAGAGTTCAGGATTATATTATTGGGATAACGGATGCTCACTTGCAAATGGATTTGGACAGTGTGGCAACTTTCTGTGTTCCTTTCCACTTGATGGTGGGCTTCTTTGATTTGGACAGTGTGGCAACTTTCTGTGTTCCTTTCCACTTGATAATGGGCTTCTTTGAAAACTTTGATTTTCCCCCTTCCAGCCAGTACTTTATTCAGGTTTACCCTGTAAGCAGCTTGGTAAAGATATGTGTCTTGCTCACTTATGAGGTGTACTAGTAGACATGGATGGCGGTGTTTAAAGCCTTGTTCCTTAAATTTTATAGACAGAAATCAGAGACCCATGAAACATAAAAATGGACATCTGATTTGGTGATTAAGTCTGGAAGAGACTTCAAATACCTTGACTGTTTGTTCCAAACACAGTTGTGTTGTAGTCTTAAATTTGCAATAAAATGGAGAATGTGTCATTCTTGGTTATGCTAACAAGAGAAGTATGTTATTATCCTCTGTCCCCAGAATGAATTGTAAACAGCTCCGTTGACACTTCATTGTCTTTCTTTAACCAGAAAAAATCATATATCTGACAGTATTCAAAATTACTTTATTAATGTAATAATTTCTTGTAATTCATTGTGATGGTTTTAAAAATGTGAAGGATTTCTTAATTCTCAGTTGTAGAATATATATGAGAATGAGACAATCACCTGTAAAAGGAATAAGGCAGGCCTGCTAAACATTTTATTTATTTATTTATGACATTTATATCCCACCCTTCTCACCCCAAAGAGGAGTCAGGGTGGCTTACATGAGTGTCATTATTTCATGCCCAAACAACAACAACAACAATTAAAAGTAATTAAACAACAATTTAAAACAACATTAAAACAACATATGTAAACATTAGATGACTATTGTGCAGATATCCAAAGCCAGATAATCTGATAATCATATCCATCAATCCAAAGCCAATTCCAACTGTGTTGCACAGATAATTATGCTGGGTCAAATGCTTGCTCCCAAAGCTAGGTTTTCATATGTTTGCAAAATGACAGGAGGAAGAGCTGATCTAATCCCACTAGGGAGGGAGTTTCACAGCCGAGGGACCACCACTAAGAAGACCCTGTCTCTTGTCTGTGAAGCTGGTGGGACCAAGAGCAGGGCTTCCCCAGATGATCTTACCCTCCATGATGGTTCATAGAGGGAGGTGCATTCGAATGGGCCATTCAGTGCTTTATAGCCAGCACTTTGAATTGTGCTTGGTAGCAAACCAGCAGCCAGTAGAGCTGGCGCAACAGGAGGGTTGTGTGCTCCCTATACGCTGCTCCCATTAGCGATCTGGCTGTTGCATGTTAGACTAGTTAAAGCTTCCAAATAGGCTTCAAAGGCAAGGCAATAAAAGTTTTCCTCATAATTTTTGTATTTATACAAAACATAAACATATACATTTGTTGCCATCACTTGCTATATTACTTATTTTTTCATTGTTAGTTTTGTTATTGCTTTCTAATAAGGGCTTAGGAGCTTTAAGGCTGACTGGTAAAAAGTTTTTAAATTGTCAAAATCTCTTAAAGTGTCTAGAAATGATATTTTAAAGGAAAATAGAAAGTCTTTGTTGTTTTACCAATACAGTAGCATTATCCCCACTTCTAATTCTATTTTTGAAATGTAATTTTGTAATGCCTGCGTTAACAAAGAGTAACTTGTTACAGTTGTTTGTAATGTAGAACTTTAGCAACTGGTTCATCACATCTAGAGATGTTTTGCAAAGTTCATTTGGATTTTCGCCACCGAAAAAGCTATTTGAGAATGTTTTGCTTTTATCTTATCCCTTTCAGAAAAAGTAGCAGTTGCACTTAGGGAGGATTTAAAGATTTTTCTGAGAAGCAGAATGTACTTCAAAAGCAACAAGTGGGACAAGTAAACCTACATGTAGACCTACCTCTGGATTTGAAGGGAGCCTTTGACACAGGGCCTTCTAGTGCCCCTGCCATATTGTTGGGCTGAAATCTCTTGCATGGGATGCAGGCATCCCTTGGATTACTCTTTGTGGCCAATCATAGGGTGCTACATGGAAGCTCTTAATAGAAATGGATGTAAAAGCTAGTGATCAAAGAGGAGGACAGTGGTGAGGGTGACAATGACACTCCTATAATAATTACTGGGAAGCTGCCAATGACATCTCCCCCAATTTCTCAGATTTATAGCATATTCTTCCAGATAATTGCAATAGCGATTGCCCAATGCTCACTGGAATGCTGGAAAATGGGATGCGGGTTGGTAGCAACTGCATTAACAATCACAAACTCTTGGTGACTGCCTGTGAATGTTGATCCATATGAGCATAGCTTTATAAACGTATACAGCACATTTGTGATCTTTCCCAGCCAGGCAATGAACAAGTGAAAGCCTCCATCAGCATGCTTTCCTTTTATGAGATAAGCCTGGGATGTCTACATGGTTGGAGGGCAGGGAAGTAAGAATCAGGATTCCAGTTACTTGACATGATCCTCTTCTTCAAGGAGCGTCATTCTTCATGCTGTGTGTACTGAAAGTGAACTGACCAAAATATTAGGTGGTTTATTCCTAGCTGCAGTTAAGGTTATGTCACTGAAAACTTAGTCATCCTTTGATCTAAATAAAAACATTAAAAGCTGCTGATGAAACTGACAACCTGATTCCTATTTATAGTCCAACTAGAGTAGGCTTATTGATTCAAAGAAGAGTGGAAAGCATTGATTTGCCAGTTGATAGTTGTTTAAATAGATATAATCTACCTGAGAATAGCAAAAGGATTCAGACACATATATTCATTGTGTCTGTTCCTTGCAGTGTATGCCTAAATGTCCTAGGGCAGTGGTTCTCAACCTGTGGTTCCCCAGTTGTTTAGGCTCCAACTTCCAGAAATCCTTACAGCAGGTAAACTGGCTGGGATTTTTGGGAGTTGTAGGCCAAAACATCTGGGAACCCACAGGTGAGAACCACTGTCCTAAGGTGATACAATCTAATCTTGGAAGCTAAGCAGGGTTAATACTTGGTTAATACTTGGATGGAAGAAAATCAAGGAATACCAGCTGCTATAGATTATACTTCAGAGAATAAAACTGGCAAGATCACCTCTGAGGATTCCTTGGCTAAGAATAATATGGTGTCCATAAGTCAACCAGTGACTTGAAGGCATTCACACACATTCATTGAAATAAAATTTCCAGTAGTGGAAAATAGCCCCATGAACCCATTCTGGTTGTCTGGGTTTTCTGTTTCTCTGCTGCAAGCAATGTTTTGTAATGTGAGAGCCTTCCTTGGGCTAACACTGGACTGTGCCCATTTTTTGTCTTCTGCTGATGATGTAATGAAATCAAACATCAGGAAAGTGGTAATAAAGAAATTGATCCTTTCATTACCTCTCTAACCTCACTGAATCTTCATGTTTTGACAGTGTTGCATATATGAGATGTGTGTATAAATGGATTCACACTATCTTCCTAGTCATCTGTGTCTTTTTTTTCTCTGAAACCCTAAATCAGGCCTCTTCAACCTGTGGTCCTCCACGCGTTTGGGCCTTTAACTCCCAGAAGCCCTGGCTAGCTTGTTCAATGGTCAGGAATTCTGGGAACTGAATCACAAAACATCTGGAGGGCCACAAGTTGAAGAGGTCTGCAACTGAATTAGATCTAATTTAATGTGTTTGGTTTATATTTAGGAAACCAGATTTTTTTTAAAAAAATGTCAACTCAATTATAATTTTAATGTTTTTCATTCATATCTAAAAATAGTTGAACTAAAGGGTTTGATTAGGAGAAAAAATAAAGTCAACGTAAGGAGATATCAATGTAAATTTAAGTGTTCTGTTAATGCAGTCCAGATTCAAATACAGAAGTTGTAAGATGCAAGACCTCCATAAAAGTAACAAAACCTTGTTGTTGTTGTTTTTTAAAAACTTTTAAACCTAAGAGAACATTTCTCTAGGAATTTCTAGTTCCTCCTGGGTAACTCTACGATCAGTTTCCATTTAAAGCTGGCCAAGGAATCAATCTGATGAACATAGGAGATTTCTATAGAAGTGTTTTCTTTAGGGATTTCTATATCTTCCAGAGTCCCCTGTGGTCAAATTCTGACAGAAATGACATATGCTGCTCTGCAATCCTGTTGTGTAGGGAAGAATATAAATACTGAAAAAAATGCAATGGGAGCAGTTCATTCTTAGGGGATGGACATATCTCTTTTGGTGACATGAATACCCAATAAAAGAAGGTCCAGGGAGAAGGTAACCACTTAGTGAACCTGCCAAATTATTGGGATAGGGTAAGCTTAACTAGAGAACTTCCAGTCTTAATTTCCTTTGCATTTTTCACCTCCCAGGTTCGTCCTTGCCAACTGAACTTTGCTGATGATGAATGGAACAGCCAATGTGAACGCAGCTGGACGTAGCCACTATGGCTCTTCTATTCCTGTTCCCAGAGCTGCATCCCACAGCAAGATACACACTCTGGTGGCATCTCCAAAATTACCCCCAAGGCAAAATACTGTGGGAGCTGTTCCTTCACAGAGGGCCCCATCACCCCGGTCAGGCAAAGGAGTATCTAGTTCAAGCAATGGAGCTCCCAAAGGATCCAAGCAGAAGCTCAGTCTTAAGAAAGCAGAAGCTTCTGAGAGCCATGGTGGGATGGAGGGGATGGAGCCCAACCTCAGCCAGGGCACTGTGTCTGGCTGTAGTAGTCCCCGAGGGCTGCCAAAGGCCAGAAGTGCCATCTCAGCTAAGAAGGCTGTTGTACAAGCAACAGAGAAAGTAAAGGATGCCACAAGGCAAACAGAAGACAGTAGCAGCCTTGGTGCCAAGAAGGGTTCCAGAAAGCTTAGCACTGCTTCTGAACCTGCAAAAACCTCACACCTCCCAGGGAAGAGCCCTTCCTATCTCAGCCTGTATAGTGAGACTTTGTTGTCCAGGTCTTCGGAGGGACCCACCACAAAAAGGCCACAAAGCTGTCCAGTAAAAGACCAATGGGCATCAGAAGCTAACTGGAAAGGAAGTGGGACAACCAAAATGGAGGATAAATCTCAGGTTATCTCATTGGACACAAGCAACCTCAACAAGGGCCCTGTGCTACACACTGGACCCATCAGCTTTTCTTCTGTGTCACAACACAACCATCCCATCATGGCCACTGTAGCACCTTTCCATTATCGGTGAGTAGCATGCTTGTAAGTGTGAAATCATTGGTGTTTCATGATGTTCTTGTCTGACTCCCTAGTTTCAATATACAGGGGAGGAAGGAGGTCACTTTCCACCAAAGACAAGATAGGCAAAGCAGTCTCTCAAATTCATCACATACTGTTTTTTTAAAGGTCAGAGTAAGGAAAAGTTATCTTTTTGACTACAACTCTCTCCCCCAGCTGCTGATTGGGAGATTTTGGAAATTGTAGCCCAAAAGGTAATTTTTCCAAGTTCTGATTAAGACAAGCAGTTTATGAAAATTTCAGATGATAATAACAGGTCTGTGAGAGCTCATTAACACAAGAGTTCAGAATTAAAACCAAAATACATATTATTATGGCCAAATTGGTCTATTAAGAATTGAATAGATCTATGCAATAGATTTCTCAGAGGAAAGTGTTTCTTCCCCTAGTTTCCCATTCATCCAGCATTCTTCAAGTTGTCCCTCAACAGACCGTCAAGAGTTTCGCTGAGGCACTCTGATGCTGAATTGTATTGAGTTGTAAGCTGGAAAGATGTAGTGCAATGATAACATAGCTATTTTGACATATCCTGAGCTCAATGGACCTTTATTTGGTATGGCAATTGAATCAAGTGCGTTGTCACCTTAAGCCAAAGAAGTCAGTGACTTTCAGAAGGACCTGCTCAATGGTCCTGTAAACATAAAGGGATGAACAATGGACCAAACTACAAGGAATTCTCCATATGATTTGGTCATGTAGCAACTATATAAACAAACTGTTTTTGAAATAAACCTTCCATGCTTAAAGCTGGTTGAGCCCCACTCCCCCCAAATAACCCCAATTTGCCAATTATTTTCCCTGTAATTTTTGGGAGGATGTAATTAATGAATTTAAGCCCTGCTTCCCATTTCTCAGGATGGGTAGAAATGGCTGATGTAGAGTGAGGTGAATCCTAGAGGATGGTTGGTACCCTGGAAGTTGTCCAAGCCCTATGTTGTTGGACACATACACACGGAGATATATTTATATAAATACAGAATGGCATTGACCTGATGTACTTTTTTCTATCAACCAGTCGACAAGGTGAGAAAGACAGGAACACCCTCCCTAAGGAAGAACACTCATATCAAGCGCAGCAACCTAGCCCCACTGAAGGGCCTGACTCCAACCCAAGAAGTATGGGTAAGTAGAAATTCTGGATGGATCTCCCCTTTATGGACTGCCAATGATCAGAGCGCATGGCACAAGGCTGGTAGCACAGGGCATTTGGTCTGTTTTTGCATGCTGAATGTAGGAGTTGGTAACAACTTATGTAGCCCTAACTGGGCAATAGAATTGCACCTGGCTTATGGACACAATGTAGTAATGTCACACTTTTTGAACCAGGCTTGCATCTTGACTAGCTTTGCTATATTTTTCTTTGTGTATCACAGGACAGTATTCTTCATATCTGTCGAATGATAAAATGTCTTTATCATAACTCTGCACATCAGTGATTGTGCTATGTGTAGTGCTCTTTCTTTTCTGCCTTCGGTGTATGTGTTGAAAATGGGGGAATGCAAAATACAAGAGCCTTCAAAAGAGAATGTTGAATGCTAAATTCTTAAGAAATATGTAAACATTGCTAGTGTTGATAGTCAATGTAGTAAGAATATTTTCTGTGATTATCAGTTTTTTTGAATGGTCCTATTGCTTTGCCACTCAGTAGTGATTCTTTGATATGTCTGCAACAGACACCCTTCCTTCTAGGAGAGTGTCTGAATCCTGCACAGAAAATGCACATTTATTTGCATGCATGTGCTTCTGTTCTATGTGCATGCACCGACACACCTGGATTCTCCTTACACAAGGGATGCCTTTTCAGTTGCCTAGGTCAGAAGCAATGGAATTGAATTTGTGTGGTTGAATAATAGTGCCCCATTTCCAAATTCTACAGAGCATCTGGGAATGTTTATTAAAGGAATTGAGCATTGATCAATGTGTTACCTTTTAAATGTGAGTTTTCTGTATATTTTGCTCAGATATTCCTTTTTCTCTATATCGTACCTATCTTACTATTCAAAACTTTCCTTGTTGATCAGAAAGGAATTTCAAAAGCAATGTTTACAGCAACTGATGTAATTTGGTGGGGAATGCTCAATGTTGATGGGACTAATTCATTAAAAATGAATGCTAACATCTCACTATACATATTTTTGGTTAAATCAGGGGTGGGCAATGTGGCCTGCAGGCTCCATGCGGCCACAAGGCTGTTTTTGTGACCCTCAGGGGTCACAATGTTTTTTGGCAAAATATATGATTTCAAAAACAAATGTTTTGCCTCTGAATGCCACCAAATGCACCCTAAAGACTGTGGAGGTCATCTGCCTGTGGAGACATAGTTCCAAAATAGTGACATTGGCAGTGAGATCTACTAGGATCCTTCTGAGGTCACCACACTGCTGTAATCATTTTACATTTGGCAAAGGGATGCAGCCAAGTGGATCTGTGTGTGATCCTATCCCACCCGTGATGCATGGAATGACTTCAGAGGCCAATCTAACTAACTTTGTATTATCAGTGCTGATTAGAAGGTTTTTAAAGTTTCAGATATATTTTTCACAATTCTACTTTGAGAGATCAGGATTAGATCCAGAGTTTTTGCAAGGTGCTCTATAGGGGTGTGCACGATTTCATTTTTGTGTATCAGATTCAAATTATTCAGTGGATTTGGTTGCCAAATGCATGAAAACGAATCTGGCATGAGGCAGTCAAAGCCTTAGAAAATATCACAGCAGCTGGATCTTTCTGGCTAATGGGGGCTAATAATGAGGATCAATGGGGCTGAGCAGCGCACTACCTGAGGTGGAGCAGTGGCATGTGGGCAGGCCATTCTCCTCCCCTCTTGTGGCATGTAGTTGGGACTTCAATTCGCAAACCCCTCTCTTGTGGATTGAAAAATGTTATGGTAAAAGTTAAAAAAGTTAAAAAAAATAGTGGATTTGTGAAACATTCTGTAACTTGGCAGAACTGCATCAGAAGTTGTGGTCTATAAGTGAGGTGAGTTTCATGCTGATAGGGCTAAAATGACAGCGAAATTAGCCTCCAAAGTCTCCCCATTGGCACCAATGGACGAATCTTTCTGGCACGAAAACAGAAAGCCTCCTGAATTTGGGAGGTTCCCTAGAAACAGAACAGAGAGGCAGCCAAAAACCAGGCACTGAAAACAGCATGGATTTTTGCCAAATTGTACACCTCTAATGCTCTGTTACTGAGATGTTTTCCCCCTTCTCTTACAAAGAGAATTATTTATAAAGTCATGACTTTGCAGATGTATTGCTCATCTTGTTCCCCATTTTAAAAAGGGATTATCACCAAACAAGTGGTGCCTGCCCCACGCAGGATGACTGTACCATTGCATGATGCTTTCAATGTTGACATTCATTTTTTTTCAAATTTTATCTGGTTTGGTGACATAATCTCTGAATTGATCAGCCATTGATTCCAATGGATTGTGAGTTTATGAGTATAGGTTAGAATCATAGAATTATAGAATTATAGAGATGGAAGAGACCACATGGGCCATCTAGTCTAACCCCCTGCCATGCAGGAAGGTTAAACAGAGTGATTGACTTTTCTAGGATTAGGAAAGGTGAAAGCTAGAATTCATAACTAACTCCTGCTGATGCATGAAATCTCTTTGCATTCCCACTGTAGAAGTTATGACTGGAAATCATGACATGGGATTTGCAATTGAATTGGTCCCATTGGGGTGAAGGATGCAAATCCTCCCTGGGGCCTCTAAGGAAAAGAATGGATGGCACATGTATGATAACAGGATTATGGGCCGATTCAGGTGCTTAAGCAAGAAACGATTCCCTGGAGGGAAGAAAGGAATTGATTTGGTCAGGTCATCGCAGTGCTTTAATTTTTACTGTCCATCGATATTAGCCCAACCCAGAATTCCGCCAGCATTTCTTTTCCCTGATGTCAGTGCAAAAAGGAACGTCTATTTGTTGTGCAAGTTCATGTTTCTGGAAGCACAGAATTCCCTTGCCTCTTGTCCTTTAACAACTCACATCTTTCTCTTGTGAGTGATCTACTGCATGCTGGCAGTAGATAGGGCTGAAACCAGTCATGAGCAGAGCCAGAACCAAACATGGGCAAGGTTGCAACTCCCTCTGTATTTTTGTTTTCTCTCTTTCCAAACAGTTCTCTCTGTTCCCCTTCCTCCTACCCAGCAGGTTAGAGGGAAGGACAAAATGGATTGCTTCTCCGCAAAGGGCATTTGAAATTAGTCTGAAGGCTGCATGTGATTAGAGTGCATTTGAAATGTAGTTTTGGGCAGAGTTTGGGAACCATACTTTTTGAGCTAATCGCACCCAGAATCCCTCTCCCCCACTCTTTCTTATGGCCACTTTTCCTCTGATCATAGTAATGCCAGGGTAAATTAGCAAGGGATATCACCATTTCAAAGGAATCTTGTGTCATCTTAGAAATTATAAGGTTATCACACCAGATATTTCTTCTGGCTGCAAAATTCTGAGACATGTAGTTTAGGGAGGGGCCTTTTGAATTCTCAGCTACAGAGATCCTCACCTTCCCAAACAACATTTTACAGAATTCTGCAGGTGGCAGAAATGTGGGGTTGCCCATTTTAAAGCCCTGATGTGATAATTTATTTATTTATTTATTTACTTCACTTGTATACCGCCATTCTCAGCCCTAAGGCGACTCATAGCGGTTTACAACAGTCGAGCACAAACAAAGCGAACAATCAATGCAAAAATTCAAGGCAGTCAACAGGTAATTAAAAACAATTAACACAGAAACAAGTTAAGCAATTAACAATAATAGACAATCAATCAATTGGCGTCTCATAACTAGAATCATGATCCAACTCGTCAGTCGTAGTTCCATTTCCTAAAATTCATTGCACTTTTTATTCAAACGCCTGTTCGAATAACCAAGTCTTCACTCTTCTCCGGAATACCATCAATGAGGGAGCCAATCTGATGTCCGTGGGCAGGGCGTTCCACAGCCGAGGGGCCACCACCGAGAAGGCCCTGTCTCTCGTCCCCGCCAGCCGCGCCTGTGATGCAGGCGGGATCGAGAGCAGGGCCTCCCCGGAAGATCTCAAAGTCCTGGTGGGTTCATAGGTGGAGATGCGGTCGGATAGGTAACTTGGGCCAGAACCGTTTAGGGCTTTATAGGCCAACGCCAGCACCTTGAATTGAGCCCGGTAGCAAATCGGCAGCCAGTGGAGCTGGTACAACAAGGGGGTTGTATGCTCCCTGCATCCTGCTCCTGTTAGTATCATGGCTGCCGCACGTTGGACCAATTGAAGCTTCCGGGCCGTCTTCAAAGGCAACCCCACGTAGAGAGCGTTGCAGTAGTCTAAACGGGATGTAACCAGAGCGTGGACTACCGTGGCCAAGTCAGACTTCCCAAGGTACGGGCGCAGCTGGCGCATGAGCCTAAGCTGTGCAAATGCTCCCCTGGTCACCGCCGAGACCTGGGGCTCCAGGCTCAGCGATGAGTCCAGGATCACACCCAAGCTGCGAACCTGCGCCTTCAAGGGGAGTGCGACCCCATCCAGCACAGGCTGTAACTCCCTATACCCTGTTCGGCCTTACGACTAACCAGGAGTACCTCTGTCTTGTCTGGATTTAGTTTCAATTTGTTCGCCCTCATCCAGACCGTCACAGCGGCCAAGCACCGGTTCAGGACCTGGACAGCCTCCTTAGTAGCAGGTGGAAAGGAGTGACAGAGTTGGACATCATCTGCGTAGAGATGACACCGTACTCCGAAACTCCGGATGATCTCTCCCAGCGGCTTCATGTAGATGTTAAACAACATGGGAGACAGTATTGAACCCTGAGGAACCCCACAAGACAAAGGTTGTGGGGTTGACAGGTGTCTCCCAGTAACACCTTCTGAGACGACCCTCTAGGAATGACCGGAGCCACTGCAAAACAGTACCTCCAAGACCCATTCCCGCGAGGCGTCCCAGAAGGATACCGTGGTCGATGGTATCGAAGGCCGCTGAGAGGTCCAGCAGCACCAACAGGGACACACTCCCCCTGTTGAGCTCCCGGCGCAGATCATCCACTAAGGCGACCAAGACTGTCTCAGTTCCATGCCCCGGTCTGAAACCAGACTGTGCCGGATCCAGATAATCCGTGTCTCTCAAGAATACCTGG